CAAGGACAGTATTGGATTAATGGGTCGCTTTACACAGAAGTTCTGATACCAGCCTTTGAGTTTCTGACATCAATAATTTAGGTTAGACTCAATCTGATTCGGTGATTTGTTTACTCCCACCTCGGAGCTTTCAATTAGGTTTTTATCTTGGAATTCTACCGAGACAGTGTCGAGCATTGTTATGCTCCAGGGATGAGCGGGAATCTCTTTGTTTCCATTCAAAAGAGCCTCTGCTTTTCAAGTGTCGTCAAAGTGTAGCATGGTTGCCATGGTCATACCGACAATGCAATACCGATTCCTGGAAAATAAACCTCTTACATATTTCCCATCTTAAAATAATTACATGTTATACAACAACAGTGCAGCAGTTAAACAGTGCAATACCGATTCCTGGAAAATAAACCTCTTACATATTTCCCATCTTAAAATAATTACATGTTATACAACAACAGTGCAGCAGTTGACCCCTTGTCACCGCTGTTGGAGCAAATGTTGACGTCAAACACTCTATTGAAGATCAACCCCCATCAGTAGTTTTCCTGTTGACCTGGTGTCTGCAGCCCATGGCAGTCACACTCACTGCCTGCCACACAAATATCTTATTTAGCCTGCCCTCTTCTTCTTTTTGTTTTTATGTCTCATTCTGTAGGCAGAGATCCACATTATGAGGAAATTGTCCATTAAAGGGGCCATATTCTGCTAATTTTCAGGATTTATTATTATTATTTTGTGCTTCTACTGTGACATGTCTCCATGCTTCAATGTTCAAAAAGCTCTTTATTTCTCTCTTACTGCCTGTGCTGCAGCACCTCTTTTCACCCTCTGTCTGAAACCAGAGCCCAGTCTGCTCTGATTGGTTAGCTGGCAAGCTCTGTTGCGATTGGTCAACCGCTTAGAGATGTCCCGCCGCTTAGCCTATCACATACAATGTGTGTATAGTTAGATAGTGATGTCACTATGTCGCAGTAATAAACAAAGGAGTCCAATCAAGGCAAAGTGGGGAGGGTGTGGGAGAGAAACTCCCTCTGGCGTGAACTTTGGGATTTCATCCTATTCAGACCATTTATATGCACACCTTCAGGACACTGATAGCACATTTCCCATGTCAGAACATATTCTTTTTGTTTAATAAAGAAGGCAAAAAGGAAAGAAAATAAATACGAGGACAGTGACAATGAATAGCAAGCCTTCACTTTAATTTTTGTAATCCAATCAGGTATCGACCATGATCATTTATTAACAGAGAGTCATCTTTCAAGGATGTATATGACTACCACGTAGGAGTGTTGAGAACCACATTACTGGGATATGCATGTGGGGTTATTTAAGATTTCATGAAAAGTATGACCTTTTCTGAATCCACAAACTAGAAACCATTGATTGGTGTGTCCCTTTGGATTACAAAGGAGATGGATTCCGTTTCAAAGTAACTTATTTCTGTGAAACACGGAGGCGTGTGGCGCAGTGGATAGAGCCTTGGTGTTGAGATCAGGGGGTCACTGGTTCAAACCCCACTGCAGTCAGCATGTCGTTGTGTCCCTGGGCAAGACACTTCACCCCAAATTGCTCCTGTGGGGATTGTCCACAGTATTGAGTATGTAAGTCGCTTTGGATAAAAGCGTCTAACAAGTGACGTGTAATGAAATCACAATCCTTTCTTTACAACAAGTTTTTCATATAAGTATCATGTTTTATGTGATGTCAGTTATAAATCTTCTATGGAAGGTCTAATTAAATAATAAGCACTAATAAAGGGTTCTACATAAACCCATAACAATTAATGCTTTAGCGATACATTTCTTTTCAAAGCTGAAAGGTTTTAGAATCAATGTATGAGAGTGACGGGGCCTTGTTTGCAATTTGAAAAGTCTTGTTCGCATTTAATGAACTTCTTGTAGTTAATTTAAAACATTGCAACATTGCAGTTGATGAGAATATAATTTATGATGCTATAAAACATAAAATGGAGCAATAACAACAGGCTCTGGTTGATGATCATAAATCTATTGAGACTAATGAACCATCAAACCCAATTCCATTCATTAGTAAACTGTGAGTTTATACATTTGTATTTGGTGCTAATGAGTGAGGATTATAGTAGTGGTGATCCATAACTGTGATGCTAACGGATGGTATGTCTTTCCATTGTGGTGCTCCCATGTGACAGCATTGGCATATGGTAATCCATAAATCTCTAAACAGCCCAGGGGGACATTTGCACTGTAGTCTTATGTACAGTCTCGTATGCATCACACACACTGACCTTGAGTGTGCCTCCCATTGGGAAGATTCAGCACAATCTATGAGAGCCCATTCACATGCAAATAACCCCCCACCATCACTGTATACAGTTTACACCTCCGCCACCGGTAATGACTTACAATTGCCTAGAAACATGCTACATATCTCCATGGAACGAGTCTATGGACCTGGACCTTTTAATTTTACACTTCAATTTGATGTATGTCCACAGCAGGTGTTAAAACATTCCCTCGCTCTTTTTTACTTGAAGCACCAAAAATAATGCATTGCGCAAAAACGCCCACCCTCCTACTCATTTAAATGTGTTGAAGCGGCTGCGTCGGGGGCCACAGAAGATACTAATAAAACAAATCCCAGGTAGGGATTCAAAAGTTCTTCTTCGGAGGGTTCTCAAGATGATTTCCTCACAATGGGCCATTTCAATGACACACCCTCACCTCAAGCCCTTGCTAATCTAAAAAATGCTTGATTTGTTATGACCCTTGAGCACCGAACCACCCCATTCTGTTCTGTACAATCCCATCCTTTAGGCCCTTCATCCTAATTTAAACTCTTCTGTTGTAGCCTTTTCCAACTCCCACTAAATAAAAGTCCCGCCATTCTTGCCCATACTGGTCTGAATTGTCCTTTTCTGTTTTTTTGCATTGTCCTGCCCGCTTTTCTCCCATTCCACAAAAAAACGTGGTCTATCCTGCTCCACCTTGCATTGTTCTGTCCGAGACTGTCCTTTCCCTCCTGTTCTATCCCATCCCAACTTTGCATTATTCTGTCTTTCTATTGTGTCCCATCTTACTTTGTAAGACTCATTATATGTTTCTGTATGCTCTGTATGTCATATCCTGAACCTTACTGTTCTAGCAACCTTACTTACATTGTTAGACTGTGTCGTTCTGCACTATCCTTTTCAGTCGTGTCCTGGTACTGAACATGCTTGTGTTGACCGGTGTTGTCCTATTCCATCCTGCACTGTTCTGTCCTGTCTCCTGAATCAGGGTTCCCCAATTACTGCTATAGCCAGTGGCGGTTCTTGATCAATTTTACCGGGGGGGCCATGCTGGGGCCAGTTATTTAATGTGAGGGGCACATTTAATGTGTTGGCGAAGGAGACAAAGACAGTGTTCCAGAGTACAACACTTTTAGTTCAGTATAAAGTTACAACGTGAAAAAAAAAAACTTAAAATACCATGATTGGTGTATTTTTTTACAGAATTGATGTCAATAACTTACTAACAATTTTAGTTTTCAGTTATTTTGGCACAAGTTATAGCACAGTCACTTAGTTACAATTTTATTAAATTACATTAATGAAAAAAAAAACATTCCTCAATTTTGACCCAGGTACAGTAACACAAATTGCATTATCATAGATTCTTCTGTGCGAGGGGGGTCACAGCAGTGCTCAAGCTCAGTGTTGCAGGCCCCCCCCCTCACCAGAACCGCCCACGGCTATTGCGCCATCTCCCCTCTTAATGTCACCCTGGGTGCAAAATGGCATGAAACATAATTCACATTTGTATGTTTGCTGCCAATCATAAGTCTTTATATGCATGTCTAATTGTTGGTGTGTGAACCAAGCTAAACCCAGCTGAGCCTTCACAGCAGATCAAAGGCTTATCCATGCGTCAACCACGAGACTGTTTCATTCTGCTCCATCCACTAGGCTTGCTTAAATTCGATTAATGACAGGAGTGGACGCAGAAATGTCCTGTTTGAAGCCTGACTCATCTCATATGACTATTGGGGGAGGAAGGCAGTGTTTTGTGAGGAAACTTGCTAACTTTGCAGATGAGCGCTACATCACAGAGGCCGCATGGAAACTGGGTCAGGGGTTTTGCACGATGCTCTATTTTTTTCAGTGCTATTATGAAATACAGTGAACAGAGGAAAACACTGTCAGAGACAAACAGCAGTGGTGATATAACAGATGAAATCAAAGTAGTTTTTCATTGAGGTCATGGTTGCTTGGACACAACAGATCTAATACCAGTTACATAGCGACGCATTTGAGTGCTCACATGAGCAAGGTATTATAGCTTTGTGACGGACTAGTGAGGGTCAGTCAATTCTGTCTCTCACTCTCTCTCTCTCTCACTCTCTCTCTCACGCACGCACGCACGCACACGCACACACACACACACACACACACACACACACACACACACACACACACACACACACACACACACACACACACACACACACACACACACACACACACACACACACAAACAAACAAAACCTCTCTCCAACTCTAAATCTCCCTTTGGGTAATCAGACTGTGTATTTTTAAATCTGTCACTAATCTATAATATTGGCATAACACACTGGACAAGGTTAGCTTTCAGACTGTGGGTACATTTTTCAACTCACAAACAAATACGCATTTTGTTAGAAATCTGAAGCGGACATTTCCTCAGACTTGCGAATACTCTTATATACAAGCATGTGGGACCTTTTATTGTGCATGTCATGCCAAGCCCACCATGACACACAGATGTCAAAACAGATGCCACAGACGACGTCTCTCTGCAGTTGGCAAGAGTTTAGGACGGTTTACAAATGGCAGGATTTGAGAGAGGACGGCAATCGTCAAATAGTATGAATGCTAAAATAGTATAATCCATCAAATTGGTGAAAATATTGGCTAAGGTATTTCATCCATTTCCAGAGTTTTGAGTCCTGACACATACAGTATGATTTTGTGGTGTTTAATTATTGTGTTTTTTCTGTTTGTGTAGGAGGCGCTGCAGGCCTTTGCTTTCCTGGTGTTTGTGGTCGTCTGCGTCCTGGGATCCATCTACCTCTATTTCGTCCTCCCTGAGACCAAAAATAAAACATTTATGGACATCAGTCAGAGCTTTGCCAAGATCAACAAAATCCCTGTCCCCTCCCCTGGCCAAGAGATGGAGCTGGTCCTATCCTGTAAGCCTGACATGTACGGAAAGGACATCATTAAGATGGAGAGCTCTTTCTAGCTTAACAAACTACAGTAATTGTTGGTAAGCAGGTTGACATGTGGTGTGTACATATTTATTTATTGACAATAGTCAATGAAATTCAAATCAATAGTTTTGTTTCAATGCATTTTGGTATTTTTATATATTTTGTATGACTGGAATATTTAGGAATAATAGTTTACAGCAATTATTTGTTTATACCTCTTATTACAATTAAACAAACCAACAAGAGTTATTTTTACAAGTCAATATACAGTATGTAACAATCATACATTTCAAACACCCTTAATAGTGGAAATCATTCAACGGTTACAAAATGAATTGTAATGTGACTGAGGGTGGCTTGCATACAATGTTGATGTGCACACTATTAAACTTAGACCTGTATTAACTAATAATTATTTTGCCTTTTGTTTTTTTTTGCCAACCTAATATAGGATAGTAGAGACATGCTATCCTGCTAGCATACCCTGGCTTATTTACTCCTCCATCAGATTTGGAAACATTAGCACCCTTCTCGAGTTGTGTCTGTGTCAACCAATTTCCAATATTCATTCTCTTTTTTCAGCTGTTGGTATTTAAGCTGCTACTAAATACTTAATTTCACCAGTTTATCCCTAACATCAGGTGTTTGGTGTTGAGCAGAGTATGAGGTTTTTACATAGAAACATCTGCTTCCACTGATCAAAAACAACTCTGATGAAAGCAATGAGACTGAACAAAAGCAATAACGTTTTGAATAATAAAATGAAAACAATGACCTAAAAAAGTTTAAAAGCCATGAACAGCTGACAGGAGAAGCAATGTTGGGTTATACAATGAGTTTCATAACTAAAAGGGACCTGCACGACTGAAAGCTGAGTTTGAAGGAACCAGATCAGCATCATATTGATCAGATTCATCCTTGTGGTCATCACAAAGCAGATTCATAATAAGAGAAGGGCAGATGTGTCTGAGAGAGACATATATTCGAAGGATTATAACTGTCGTGCCGCCATTAAGACAACAAGAGAGAGAAAGAGAGACCACTCAGGGAGCCCAGTAAAAAGGCTGAAGGGGACAATTTGTTGGAGCCTCTCCAAATCTGAAAGGCACCAAGGCTAAACTTCCCCCAGATGGCGGGAGCCAGCGGAGGAGGTGATCTGAACAGAGGCAGACAAGCGTGGCATTGGATAGCAGTCTCCATTTGCTCCACAGTAGGGTGTACGAGCCGTTCCACTGCCGGTTGGGTAAAAAAAAAAAAAAAAACATCCTCCCACATAGACACACACAAATACAAAGTTGTGTGTGCTGTGCGATGATACAGGGGTGTCCATGTAATGAAATGGCATTGTTGAAGAAATGTGAGTGCCTCATGATTACTCTAATTCCTGATCTTATCCAGTGAGCTCATGCAACAGATTACTTCTTTCCAACTGGCAAGCAGGCGTGAGCAGTGGGAGGAATAATAATTGGATCTGTATAGCTCATAGCTCTGTTCCAGCATGTTACTTTTGAGGAGTTACACTCACAGCAACGTTAGTTAGTGGGTAATTGACAGGAAGATATGTCGGCGATTACAGGTGGGCGATCAATTAAGAGACTTCAAAGCAAAAAAAGCATACACACTTTATATTTATGAGATGCATGTGGAGAGAAGCTGTCTGTGATATATTGCTGTTGGTCCAACCTCTCAGACATCGACTTCCCACTATGCAAAGTAAAGAAAAGGCAGTGCTGTATAATTCCTGCAACTGTCAAATCTAATAAGGGTGCACTTAAAATAAATGTTTGGAGAGGAATGTTACAGAGATGTAGTTTGCAGCATGTTTTTCTTGTATTCAGCAAAATTGTCATAATTAACACAATTTCAGTAAACCTTTTTTATATATATAAATCATTCACACTGGGAATCTGATTTAGTGCTCAATTTGTGTGAGAGTTTGTAAACGAATGCTTTGATAGACATTTTGCAAGATTGTTTGGGAAATCAAACGGATACGTAATTGAAATACAAAGTTAATTTCATGGGTGAAGTAATCCTTTAAACCTTTATAAAGATTAATCAACGGCTTTCCTAGCAACATGTTATTAAAAGGTGGAGCTGGTGGGGAGAATCGGAAAGCAATTCGCACCTCCCCCCTCCCCCCTCCCTAATCACTTTACAAAAATGAAAATCACGACCCCCAACAGATTTACTTTAAACCAGGATTGCAAGTGTTCATTTAATTTTCAGAAGTGCTTAGCAGCCCTCTTTTGATGTGATGAAAAACTGAACAGTCACCAGTTCTGTGGAATAACTCTGCTCTCCAGTGAGGATGCCCGTAATGAAGTGTGTCCATCAGACCCAGATTTAGTTTTCTGATTTAACATTTATTTAAAAGGCTCCTATTGTGCTCTTTTTAGGCAGATATTATGGGTCTCAGATATATACAAATATATAAAAAACATGTCTATGATGTGTTTTGCTCAAACAGATCATGCATTATAGACATCCCTCATATCCCTCTGTTTCAGGCCTGTTGGAGCAGGGGTTCCCAAAGTGGGGGTCGCGAGATGATTACAAAATAAAAAAAATGTATCAATTTTTTATTTTTTATTATTATTAATAATAACGTGTGCATAGACATTTTTCAGGGGCGGACTGGCCATCTGTATCATTTCCCCGCAGCGAGGCTCCCCCCGTTGGCAATCCACTAGCGCAGTGTTTCTCAAACTTTTTCATACCAAGGACCAATTAACCAATAAAAAACACTCACGGACCACCATACACAAATATCCAAAAATAGGCCTAACAGTACATAACAGCCTAATAATGACAGCTTAACCTTCTCTACATCGCCTCGTTCACACAATAAATCAACAATACAAATACAACTACAGATTATATAAGCATTTAGTTCAAATGCGATTTAAAATGCTCGCAGGTTTTACACCTCTTATGAAATGTAGACTACATTTATTATGGAGTTTCCCCCCCCCCCCCTCGTTGACAGGGGTCGCCAGTCTCTGGCACTGTTATTTTGGGGGTCGCGGGCTGAAAAGTTTGGGAACCCCTGTGTTAGAGAACTGCAGATTTTGGGTCCTTAGCTTGAAAAAATTAAAAGATGAGGGGGAGCTAATGCCTGCTCAGAATTCTAGGGTGATTGTGGATTGTGTGGGACCCTAAAGCTAAATGCTGCCGTGAATAAATGCCATATCATGTTCCAAACCACATCAAGGATTATTTCTGAAACAGTATGCTTTTTCTCTTGCCAGTGTACCACAAGGTGAGTTCTTTTTTTTATTTCCTGCTTCTTTACACATACTCCCTACAGTACAGGTTAGCTCTGAGTGTTAGCGAGGCTTGCTTATGTAAACAAAGACCATATTACGTCCAAAACACATCGAGCATTGTTTCTGATAGCAACTTTCTGATAGCTGTGGGTCCACATTTCCGATATTACGTCATATCGGACACAAATCTGGATCAGCTTAGTTGTACCCCCATTTTTTGGGGAGAAGAGAGAGGGTTTTGTTTTCTGACACTTTGAGTTCCCTGACACACCGGGGACACATATTTATGTATAAAAGACATCAAAAAGTGCATTTTGCATGATAGGTCCCCTTTAAGCAGGAGTGATTCACATTGAGATTCAGAATATATTTTTATAAGGGCAGCATACAGAGTTTCACATAAGAGAGATTTAAAACAATGAGCAGTTTACATAAAACAATGAATTAGCAGGGTTGAGTAACAGCATTCATCAACTAGTGGTGGGATAGTCTTTAATCCTGTTTTCATAAACTCCCATGATATCAGGGCAGTTTGTGTAGTATCCCTTTATAAAGAAAGATGTGATATGAAGTAAGAGAAGCCAGCTTTCTCACACAAACTGCAGTAATCCATATCCGACTATAGCTGTGACCGAGGTTATCTACAATGTCATCATGTTTTGCAGTGACAGGAGGCTGTGCTCTTTATTCTGCAGGTGTGTCACTGCAGTGATGAATGGGTCAATCACTGCATTGTTGTCTTTCCGCCTCCACATACTCTGTCTCAGCAGGAAGACCTTGCTACTGATGTCTTTGCTGCTTGCATCATGCAGAGGGCTGTCTGTCTCAGCTGGTCCCACACTGTTCAGTGTCCTGTACTGTATAGAAGAGGCAGAATATGTCAACTCTCTTTTGTCCCTTTTTACTCTTCAATCGACAAAACCATTAACATTATATATGCTCCATAAACTAGAAGCACTTTATCATGCAGTCTTCGGGTTGCGACTTTATTGATAAGGTCATTCTCCTCTTTTCATCTCCATTTGCATGCTTTTCTTCTCATCTACATACCATTATCCATGTGTTTATCATATCTATGATGTCTTGGTAACTTGGAACACACAAATCCAGACTTTTCATCTCCCTGCATGCATGGTTGCAACACTAAACAGTAGTTTAATCATCTCACTGTGCGCAGATGTAATATGTCCGGTTTATACTCAACGCATCCCTGAGGGTCGTGAGAGTTTGCACGACCAAGATGACGTCACACCATCAAGCACAGCCTTTAGCAGGGGGTTTCCTTGGGTTGGCTTTCCACTGCATGTGCAAAGAAAAAAACTTTGAGGAGCTTTGGGAATATATGTTTATCACGAAGATAATTACTCACGGAGTATAAAAGAGCAAGCGTTTCAAATGTATCAAAATCCACGTCAGCTCTTGTCCATTCAGATAAATAGAATAGCTGCGGCTTTAGACTTCTTAAAATCCGTGCCACTTGGTCTTTCCTTATGACAACAGTGGATCAAGGATTAACCCACTTTTGTTTCTCTCTGCCTGCTGAATTGTTGTCTTCATCTGATCACCAGTAGTGAAAAGGAAGAGTGACAAGCAAAAATCAGTTTATCAACCTGTCAGGGACCAAGCAGTAAGGCAACAGGACGCAGGAGTGGTTTAAATAAACTGGGATTTTTATTTACCCAAAAGTCCAAAGAAAACATCACAAATCAATAATTTCTAATAACCAGGCCTATAAAAGAGGTCAACAAAAAATACCTCAAAGAAACATGGCATCAACTTAACAGGTGTTAACTCAACAAACTGACCTGGTACAATGACAAACCAAGGAACCTATATAGTGGCTTGGCCAAACCAAGTTGAAACCAAGGGATAATTAATAGTAACACAATACACAAAGGACACTGACAAAACCCAAATCCCCCCTTTGACATGGAAGTAGGTGGTTTGTCCCAATCTGTCTCAATTGGCTCCTTGCTGTATTTATGAGTCCTCAGCGCTCTGCCACGCCCTTTGCTGAACCAGGAAGTAACCTCCCCCAATGGACATGGTAACTCAAGAGACAAAGAAAGTAATTAATACAAACAAATACCTGTGTTAGCTGTGCTAAAATGTTTGAAGTAATGTCAGATTACAATCAAATAAAGAG